AAATAAGGACAAGAGTACTTCTCATATGACAATGATACAAATAAAGTGCAAGAATCCAGAAAAATGTTATCAAGTTTTTATTATCATGAAATTGAACTTTTATGTACAGAGAAACACATATTTATGCTTTGGTTGACAGCACTTCTCAAAGTAAAAAAAAGAGGACCTGCAAAACTTTATACAATTGTCAGACATGCAGCGAATAGTATGCTATTGTAATATATGCAGTTCCAGTGGCTTTGCTTTCTGAGAAAAAAATTCTGGCTCTGCACCTGAAAAAAAACAAAAAAAAACATTTAGTCAAAAGTAAGCAGAGGTTGTAGCATATGTGCTCCCATTAGCTGTTAAATTTAATTCAAAAAGATATTTGTGCATCGTCTTTTCAGTACGAAAACATATTACTTAATATATTTATACCAGCCAGAAAGAAATTGCATTAGGAATATAAATGGACAACAATTGATGCATGTCTAGCAATATACTGTTTGAAAGGCTGCAAGATGTAATGAAATAGCAAACCAATCACTACTCGAGTCGGACTGGCTGGGAAACTGCACAATACATACAAAAATGTATGCAAATGATATATGAGCAGCTCCACCAAATCTAAAAATATCCTCTCCATAGTTATGACTCTAATGTGAATGTGATTTTCCACTCCTTAACAATACTAGTTTGTGTATTGTATTGAATTGTATCGTACAAGTTTATTATGATTCTATATGTGTTTGTAATATTATTTAGCTTTATTTAGGATTCTGTTTAGTTTAGTTAACTTTACTGTATCTTAATGTAGTTTATTTTATTTTTATACGACCATAGAACAACTCACTGTAGTTTGTTTTAATGTTGAATAAATATTATAATATTATTATTACATGTGTTTGTATTATTAAAATCAGTCACAGTACAATAGTGACGTATTGCACGACAATAAAGGACAATAAAAGGACAATAAAAAATGCACGGAATGGTCGGTAGTATCGATCAAGTTCACCTACTAGTGTGACCTTCGTGGCTGGCGAAAAGCAAGATGCCGTATAATCTTTTAAATAGGCGTCAAGGAGAAGTGAAAGGCCTTAATTTGGTTCTACAATGGGCGTCGTGAAATGTTGGAAAATTACAGTCAATCAAAAAAACTTTTCACATACAAAAATATTCACTATATTTAATATGCATTATTTTTTTGTAGTAGCAAATGATCACGGTATGACAGCTTACTGTTTTCAAGTGT